TTGTTCACCATCTTAGCTGTAGAGGGCAGTGTCACTGGCCCTCATGTGGGATCCGAACCGGGGCCCTGCTGCTCAGAGCTGGCGTCCCAAGCCCAGCTCTTAACCAACACGCCACTCGGCTGGCCCAAAATACAAACATTTTAACTTGCTAGTATTTCCCAGTGAATTTGTAGGACTTTCTTTTCTTCAGAACCTAATGATATGTTTGTCTATATACTAACTTTCACATAGGGCTATGGAACACACCTGATGAATCATTTGAAAGAATACCACATAAAACACGACATCCTGAACTTCCTCACATATGCAGATGAATATGCAATTGGATATTTCAAGAAACAGGTGGGTTTTTCATTGTGCAACACTGTTCTGTCTTTCCTTTTTTAAGTATACCCTCAGGTAGCCTTCATCCAAATAGGTTTCCACCCCAGTATTTTCTACTTATAAGAAGGACATATCTTTATTTTATTTTGTAAGCTTTAAGCCATAAGTAAGCTTCAGACTGGATTAGAGGGTATGACCAGCACATACTAAGTACTAAATAAACATTTGTTTTTTTATTTCATTTCATTTTATTTTTTTAGCTGAGCTATCTGCCACCTGTTGGCAGCTCAGTGGCAGCTCAGCCTGGGCTGGGAATTGAACCAGTGACCCTGTTGCTCAGAGCTCACATTCTTGAGCGAGCTCTTAACCAACTGAGCCACTCAACCGGCCAATAAACATTTGTTGAGTGAATGAGTGTCGTCTATAAGTGAAGTATAATATTGCATCCTGACATTCTAAATTATGATATTCCTCAGGCTAAGGAGAAATTCCCAGTGCTGGGTGAGTAGAGTTCTCCATGTATGAGAGAAATCCATCCAGTCTGTGGAAGGCCTCCCTTTACAGCAGCAGAGAAGAAATTCTGACATTTAGAATGCGCTCCAGACAATCCTGGTTCAGCAGCAAACAGCAGGCAGGGAGCTTGGCTGCCATCTCAACCCTTTCTCACCAGAAGTTTTCAGAAAAGCTCAGCATTTTAAGGATTATTATTTGGCTGCATATTTTTAAAATAGGGTTTTATAATTACTAAACATTTTTCACTTAATCTGACTACAGAAGTAATGTGTAGTTATTGTAAGAATTTTGGAAAATGTAGTGAAGCACAAAGAAAACAAGGAAAAATGGCTTGTAATTCTACCAACCCAGAGAAATTTACTGTTGATGTTTTGACATGCCCTTCTACTGTTTTTCTCTGTGTGTGTGTATATAAATATGAAAATTGGCACATACTATAATTTAATTACTTGCCCTTTTTACTTAATATATTCTGATTCTTTCTTCATGTGATTTTTGATGATCCTCTGAAATTTTGTTGTATAAATAGAAAACAATTTATTAAACCAGTTCCACATTTTGGGGACATTTTGGTATTTCTTGTATATAAGTGTACATGTGCGAGTTTGTGTATGTGTGTGTGTTTGTCTGTGTGTTACCCTCATCTATGGTAATTTGTTTAGAATAAATGTCTAGAAGTAGAGTTGCTTTCGGACAGATTTAAGGTTTTGTTATGCATTGCCAAATACTGGAATAGTTTCTGTTCTTGTCAGCAGTATATTAGGGGGCTCAGGAAAGTAGGTGATAATTGACAAAAAATTTCTTTTTACCCCTTTCCTAGGTAATAAATTGTGTATGTTTGCATCTATTTGATCGTTGTCAGGATTCACTTGTTTTTCTTTGTTCATTGACCCTTTGTATTTCTTTTTCTTTTTGAATTGCCAATTCATTGTATTTTGCCTCTTTTTCTATTAAAATATTTTTACATTGGTTTATGAAAACTCTTTGTATATAAGGATATTAACCTTTTATTTTATGATTTTTTTTTCCTCTTGTCATTTGTTTCAACATTGCTCATGGCTTTTTCTTTAATACATAAAATTTTAAAGATTTTATTGCATAAACTCTATTAACTTCTTTTTAAAAAAAATATAAGTCCTTATATGACTAGAAAGCTTTCTGATGTCAGATAATTAATCTCCTATTTATTTTTTTCTCATTCTTTGGGATGTTTGTGGCTTTTATAATCAGCATTTTTATAATCAGACTCACCTGACAGTGGAATTGTTCACAGAGAGCTTGAGAGCCAGCTTTCCTAGGCAGTAACGACATTGCAAAGCATGAAATCTCTGCCACAGTTCTTAAATGACTTGACTGTAGTGAGTGCTCTTTGAGGATGATGGCAATAATTGCTTGGAAAGTAAGTTTTTGCTGGAAGAGGAGGCAGGAAACTGCTGATGATAGTTCTGAAGCCCAAGTCATTTTCTGCAAAAAACTGAAATAGGCAGTGTAAGGAAAATTATGTTTATATTATAAATATATGAATATATATATATACCCTGTAGCACTATGTTATTACAGCTTAAATTATGTAAATGAATATATTGCGAAGCATTAATGTCATTTCGAAACAACCTCACATTGTAATGGTCTGGAAGTTTTGTGCCTGTGAAGTTGGGGCTTCATTTTCTCAACATCAGGATTCTAATTGCTATATATTTTTACAAGCTTTTCTTTCAGAATTTAGATTGTTAATTATAAATTTGTTGAGAATCCTGGGAACCTCTTTTCCCTTCGTTGGGAAAAATTGTTCAACTTAATGCAAAATTAAATCTGATTTTTACTGAGTAGCCATTTCTGTTTAAAAAGATTGTAATGCTGTGTTTTACTAGGATTATTTTTTTTTATGTTGTCTTGCTTCCTAGTTGCACAGTTTGATTTTTTTTTTAAAAAGATTTTATTGGGGAATTTGGGGGAGGGGAACAGCACTGGGGAATTGGGGAAGGGGAACAAACAAGTTGCTGTCCTTTTGTTCTTCAGTCTAGTTGTGGAGGACGCTGCTTCACTGGCCCAAGTTGGCACCATCATTGCGCTCTTCCCTGGCGAGGCAGATCAGTCGCCAGCTTCTGGACGGCCGCTCACGGCGGCTGCTGGCCGCTCACTGCGGCTGCTGGCCGCTCACTGCGGCTGCTGGCCACTCACGCTGGCTGCTGGCTACATACAGTAGCCCATGGCAACCCACTGCCACAGGGGCTGCAGCCTACGCCGTTGCAGGCGACTCATGGCAGCCCAGCTCCAGGTTGAGCTGTTGTTCAGCATCTTAGCTGTGGAGGGCAGTGTCACTGGCCCTCATATGTGGGATTCGAACCGGGGCCCTCTGGCGTCCCAAGCCAGTTCTTAACCAACGCGCCACTTGGCTGGCCCTGCGCAGTTTGATTTTTGATGTTTATGGACTTCCTGGAAGAGTTGTGTGCTAATCCTTGCCGTAATAATATGATGGGAACTTGAAAGAAACGCATCTTGATGCCGAGACAGTACTTAGCACATAGTTAGCGCTCCGCAGATATTTGATGTGCAGTGCCCATATGAATGAATTTATTTGCTTTGCAGGGTTTCTCCAAAGAAATTAAAATACCTAAAACCAAATATGTTGGCTACATCAAGGATTATGAAGGAGCCACTTTAATGGGATGTGAGCTAAATCCACGGATCCCATACACAGAATTTTCTGTCATCATTAAGAAGCAGAAGGAGGTGAGCATGTGACTGACTCGTGTTCCCCCCATACAGGCCAGTCTTAGTCGGCGTGAGTTGGATATCATTGAACTGTGTGTATAGGTCTCCTGGGTGTCGTAATCTCAGTGTGCTATGGTTTGTCTAGATTTCGTCTCTCAAGGCATCCTTGGTCCATCTCCTCTCCAGGTCACTGTCCCTAAGAACGTAGGCACTTGTGAAATTGGTATAAAATACAAAACTTGGAAAATAAAATGCCTCATCTGGCCTCAAGCATCCTTCCCAAACTTATCTCTTTACTTGCCTCTCTTAAACTATTCTCCAGAGGTCATTACTGACACTTTCACCCTCTTGGCATGGTGTTTTCATGTTACCCACCTCCCCCTCCCAACACATACACACATCGAACCACTTTAGTCTGTGTTCCAGCTCCTCCTTTGAACTTCTCCAGCACTAGTTTGATCCACCCATTAGAATTCCAATAATTTATTATCATCTCACATAGACATTTATCTTAGTGTGTATTAATCTCTCCTTTTACGTTGCAAATTCTGAAGGCTGACACTTATAGGTGTTAAAATTAATATAGGGGGGGGTGAAGCCTTTTATGCATATGAACGAAAAGAAGCAGTAAAGGGAAAGGTTCACAGCAATTTTACATTTCTCTAAGACAGGGGAAAAAACCATAAAATGAACATAATTGGGGAGTGCACAGAGGCCATTTAATAAACAAATGAACTTTGTGTGTTAAGCCCAGGATCGCCTCCTTGATCCCCAAGTTCGTTGGAGTTCAGAAACTGGGAGTTTGCATCTGTGTCATTCCACATCAATTCTACTTTATACTTACATTATTCATCCTAGTGTACTTTTCTCCAGAAGTAACCTCTAGAAGCTCTGTCTTAAACCTGTCTTTGTTTTATAGTTTCTACGAATGTCCCTTATCTCCATTCTTAGTTATGTGTCAGACATCACCACTTTTACAGATAGTAGGTGCTTGATATGTATTTTCCTTTTACTTCAAGTGGCTCACATTTGTTCTTAGGCTTCTTCGGGAAGTGAGCAAAAGGCATTTTTTTTTTTTTTACTTAGAAAATAAAAACAACCTTTGTTGTTTCTTGGTCCAAATGTCAGCCTGGGAGAGAATTCCAAATAGGGTACTTGGAGAGTTAATAAAAGCGCAGCAGGCGCCTCTCCCTGCCTCTCCTCTGAAGAGCTCGCTTTCTTCATTGTTCTCTTTGGGCTTAATGAGAAGGTCTGAATTCAGCAGCTCTTTGTTCAGCGGTCGAGGCTGCTGGCCAGCGAAAGCCATCGCAGCGGTGTCGCCGTCAGCTGCTCTTTCCTCACGCCTCCTCCCAGCAGCACCGATTCATGGCCACGATATAAGCTGAGAGCGGGGCACCCTGGGCAGGGTCTGCAGATTCACATAGTCCGGATCTGTTGGCTCTTCCTCCATAGAGGGGAAAGCCATAGGCACAGAGCTAACCAAGGCAGTGAGCTTTTGAGAAGGCAGACCTCCTGTTCCTTTCCTCTTACTGCTCTCTTCTTGAATCTCATTTCCCTCTCTCCTCACCTTCCCTCTTTACCTCCAGCCTTCTCGAACACAGTGAATGGATGAAGGCCTGGAGCTGTGGACCTACTTCTTTTAAAGGAGATCTGAAGTCACCACAATAAAACATTTGGATTCACATAGTATCTTCTTCCACAGAATTCAAATAACTTTTACAAGTGTCATTTACTCCAACCTTGAGCACCCCCTTGAAGGAAGGTGGGGGCTGATGGTGGTAGCAAACAAACTCTAAATATATGGAGGACTTTCCTAGCCCCTAAAAGCATAAAGAGCAGAAGTTGTACTTCTGCAATGGGTTTTGAACTGGACAGCCTGGCCGGGTAACCAGCATGAGCCAAGACTCAGAGTCCAAGTAGATTCATGGGCACGTGAATAACTAGGACCATCGGTGGGTGGGTAATGAAAGCCATTATTGGAGAAAAGTGTGACTAGGCTATGAGCAGGCAGAATTGGCTGTATGGATGTGTGTGCATATGTGTGTGGGCTGGGTGGGAGGGATGATTCTTAAATCTTAATCTACATGTGAGAGTACAATGGACTGGGTTTGGAGGAGCCAGAGTCAGGGTGAGGCACAGCAACGAGATTTTTTTTTTTTTAAGATTTTATTGGGGAATTGGGGGAGGGGAACAGCCAAGTTGTTGTTCTTCAATCTTAGTTGTGGAGGGTACAGCAAGCTCAACTCCAAGTCCAGTAGCACCGCTCAGCTCAAGGTGCTGTGTTCAGTTAGTTGTGGGTGGGCGTAGCCACCATCCCATGCGGGAGTCGAACCAGCAGCCTTGTTGTTAAGAGCTCACACTCTATTCACCTGGGACATCTGGGCGGCAGCTCAGCTCAAGGTGCCGAGTTCAGTCTTAGTTGTGGGTGGGCATAGCCCACCATAGAACAGGCAGTCTTGTTGTTAGAGCATGTCTTTCACCAGCTGAGCCATCCTGCTACCTGTTGGCAGCTCAGTGACAGCTCAGCTAGCGCACAGCTCACTGGCCCATGTGGGAATTGAACTGGCAACCCTTTTGCTCAGAGCTCACACTCTTGAGCAAGCTCTTAACCAACTGAGCCACTCGGCCGGCCCAGCAATGAGATTCTTTTGTAAGAAGACATGTTAAGACTTGATGACACATTCAAGATAGGGGAGTCTTCCCAAATTTTCTGCTTGGGAAGACTAAAACTGAGAGCAGTGGACTGACAGATGGATTTGAGGAGAGAAAGATGACATAGTGGGGGAGTGAAGACATTTTCTAGGGAGGTGAAGAGGTTGGAATGTAAGTAAAATGTTTCCTTTCTCCAAAATGAGGCACAGAGAGGTTAGGAAGCACCCCACTCCCACTGGCGATCACTCACCAGGAGCCCACCCACCTTCATGGTGTTGTATGGAAGCCAATGGTGGGTCATCACATTGGAGAGTCCCTTGGTGAGGAGAAAAAACTTTTCAAATTATATCTGAAATTATATTTTCTGAAGGCATTCATTTAAGAGATTGCCATTGGGAGTCTTTTTAAAAAAAGACTTGTACTTATAAATAAATGAAGGGAAGCATCCATCTAGATTTGTCCTGTCCAGAGTGACAGCCACTAGTGACATTTGGCTACTGAGTACTTGATTTATGGCTAGTCCAAATTGAGATGTGCTGTAAGTATAAAATACATTCCGATTTTGAAGACCTAGTATGAATAAAATAATTAAAATATTTCATACTTTTTCTATTGATTATATGCTGCAATGATAATATTTTGGATATATTGGATTAAATAAAAATATATTGTTAAAATCAACTTCACCTGTTTTTGCTTTTTGAAGGAAATGTGGCTACTGGAAAAATTTAAATGACATTGAGTAGTTTACATTGTATTGGACAGCACTGAACTGGATTTACAGGAGTCTACTTTTACTGGTCTCATTCCTTTTATGAAGTTCTTTGTTTAATTGTTAGGATTATGAATTCATGCTGCATTATTTACCGGTGATAAGTTTGAGATCAAGCAGTTTGGAACTAGAATATTTTTGTTTTCTTTTGTGAATTCAATGAATGATCACTGTTTTTTTGGTTCCCTCCCCTTCCCTGTCCCCCCTCCCCCAAATGGTTATATCAGTTATGATATGGTTAATTTCAGAATGGCAACTTTTTAGTTTTTTTTTTTCCTTTCTTTTTTTCTTTAAAGGGAAAACTTCACTGTTTTGGAAATAATTACCTCAGACAATCAGGAATTATTTTACAAAACAAACACACATCTCTCAAAATTCCCTCACGTCATGGTTGTGATGCCTTAACAGACAACTCCTTAGAGCTGTTTTTTGGATGCAAACGGCATAGGCTGGGGTACCAGCCTTAAAAAATATGACTAGTAAGGCCACCCTCCCAGGCTTTGGGGACTTTCTGAGGCCTGGTCTTTTGCCCCCTCAGTCAGAAGGGGACAGTTCCTAGTCATGGGAATCGGAGAGGCTCTGACGCTTGTCTGGGTAGCAGATGGTCAGCTGCTTTGCTGTAGCTCTGGCAGAGGCTCCTCGCAGAAGCAGGCAAAAGAAATGGCTCTCATGCTAAAGAGGACAGCGGGCTCTCGGGGCAGGCAGGGTGCTCTCTCCATATTGGCTTTTCTGATGGCAGGGAACAAGTATTTCAAAGTTGTTTAGTGACACTAGATGGGCTTGGTGTGTGTAAGACAATGTTTTCATGTCTCACCTGTTCAGTGGCATTCACCCTTTTCTCCCTTTTTGTTTCCTAAAGACTTTTATTTTGTTAGGAAAACAACTCCTTAGTTTTGCTGACTTAAGCTATAGCCACCGAGTTCTGTCTCTGAACACATTTTCTTCCTGTGCTTTCCAGATCATTAAAAAGCTGATTGAAAGAAAACAAGCCCAGATTCGAAAAGTCTACCCTGGCCTTTCGTGTTTTAAAGATGGAGTTCGACAGATTCCGATAGAAAGCATTCCTGGAATTAGTATGTATAGATCTTCTTTTAAAAGCAAAATCTTTTGATAATGCCACCAGATGTGTTTGAAACAATTACCAGAGTGCAGTACTTTGAAAAGTTATTACCCTGCCCGGCTCCATTTGTGGTATTTCTGGTCTTTTAAGAAAGGAGCAAATGCTTTCCTTTTATATCTTTTCTCTACTTCTCAATGCAAAAAACCAAGGAGAGCTTAGATGACCCCTTTTGTAGCTATTAATATCCATCATTTATTGGGAGCCTGCTCTTTGTAGCACAGTGCTAGGCATGACCCATATGTGACCGTGAAAATAGGGGCATTCTACTTTTACAAATGGGGAAATTGAGGCTCAAAATGGCTTAACCTTGCTTGCACATGGCCAGTAACTGTCAGAATTAGAAGCAGCCCAATTCTGATCTCCTCCAAATATCTTGCTTGTTTGCAACATGCCTCATTGCCTCTCGGTTGTAACCTACATACATCTACGCTTGACTAAACTAGTTTTCACAAACTTCTGAAACAGTGATGGGAAATCATATAATTTGTTTCAAGTTCCCTATTTTATAGTAGTTTTCCCACGGGCTTTTATCTGTATGTGAGTTGTGAGTTGCATTGGGTTAAAACATACAAAATAGCTTTTTGTGTCGATCAAAGTATCAAAGATTGATACTTTCATTCGGTTCAAATCCAGGATCTTCTGGTGTATTGAAGATTTAAAAAGCCAAACAAAATCAAACAAACTGAAAGTCTCCAGAAAAAAAACAAACAAAAAACTAAGATGTTTGTTTCTTTATGATATGTTTCATATGTGTTTCTTCATTAAAAAAATCTACTCTGTAGCAGATGTTGGTTTCACTGCCAGAGCCAGAAATTTTACTTTCCCATATTATCCCTATTAATGGCATGATTGCTACCATGTCACTGCATGCCCGTTGATGTCAGGCATTTTTCTATGGGATAACATCACCTAATGTTTAGAGTTCTGTTTTATAGATTGATAAACTAGAAGAGAGGCAAAAGGTTAAATAACTTACTTATTTAAGCTATTATAGGCTAAGTTAGCTTTTAAGGAGGCAGCAAGAAATCAAATCCAGGTCTATGGGACTCCAGGCTTTGTTTTCTTTCTGCTAAGCTCAACCGTCTTGCATTACAAGCAGGGTCTCTTCGCCAAATAAAATAAGAGACCAGGACAGAGTTCCTTCTCACCAAAAATAACAGCTTCACTCTTTCACATGGTAATTGGCAGAGAAATGTGACTTTGAGTTTAAAAAATACATATGCCCACAATACTGGACATGTTTATTTTTTATGCTTTTCTTGGAAAGGTTGGGATTCCTTTAAAACACACTAACATGTAGAGCAGTGTTGTCAGTCTGGGAAATGTGTCATATTGTTAGCTGCATAAGGAGATAACTGCAGTTAATTTTAGTCTCTTCGCAGAAATAGACTTATTGAGGCATGGCTGTGATTTATTGCATTTTCTATAAGTATTAACTGTTATTCTCTTGACCAAAAGCAGTTCTCATTCAGTGTTTAATTTCGTTGACGTATAGGAGAGACAGGCTGGAAACCGAGTGGAAAAGAGAAAAGGTAAGTAGGATGGGCGAGAGGCTATTAATGGAAGTGATTTTTTCCCCCCTCCTAGCAACTTAGAGAAAGCGGGCAAACTGATTGTAATCACCAGTACAACACTTGTTGGGTTCCAATTTTCATAAAAAAATTCTGGAATAATTCCAGTTTTACGTTTTTGTAAAAATGAGCTGACTGGGAATCAGCTAGCATGAGGGTAAAACCTAATAATTGTTCTTTGTTGTTCCCTCTTTTCCTTTCAAGTAAAGAACCCAAAGACCCTGACCAGCTTTACAGCACGCTCAAGAGCATCCTCCAGCAGGTGAAGGTGGGTGTTTCCTTTTCATTCACCTCGTGCAAATATTTTGAAATGATTTCCCACATGGAATTTCCGTATTAGATACCTGACTTTTTTCTTTACCCAAGAGCCATCAAAGTGCTTGGCCCTTCATGGAACCTGTGAAGAGGACAGAAGCTCCGGGATATTATGAAGTTATAAGGTTCCCTATGGGTAATGCCATTAACATTTTCTAAGTATAGATTTAAAACTCTCTGGATGGCGGTGTGGGGGACAAATGGTCGCTGAGGTTGATGAGTACTCTTCCATAGTGGGGTACAGTGTGTATGACGGGGATTCCATGTACCCGTGGAGGGCAGTGATGTCAGAGCAGGGTGACAAAGGGGAAGTGGGTGGCTGTGTTCATGAGTGACATTCTGTAGCTGTCTTTGGGAGCCCCCACAACAATAACTCTAGATGCAGAAAACCTAGCTGGGGATTGCAGATGGCACTAGATAGGAACACTGGCTAACCGTTTGGACATCACCTTGCTTACATTCTTCCTGATGGGTTACAAATGGAAACACATCAGGTTGTGTTCTTGATGTGTTTTGAGTGTGTCTGAGAATTTTTGAAGTCAGTACAAACGAAGTTAGATAAGGCTGCATGGCTGCTCTACTTTCAGGGGAAATCACAGTTAATGCAATCCTTGATTTTTCCTGCTCTTGGATACTATTATTGTCCCTTACTTATTCCTACTTTAAACTTTTGTCCCACATCTAAAACCAATCAATCAAAAAATGCCTTTAGAAATGGGGACTTCTGGAATTGGCTGCTGTGCCTGCACTATGCTAACATGAATGATTAATTGAATCAATTGAGAATCCCCAAATTAAACAAATTTGGCATGGTGCTGATGACAGCTAGCTGAGGTGTTTTCAGTTGGTCGTGTGGCCATTTTTTTTGGAGAGAGCCTCGGTCTTCTGTCTCTTTTCTACCTGTCTATTCCTCGTTCTAAGAAAGGATTAAAATGTAGAAGACAGAATGAAAGGAAGCCATTAGCTCCCTGATAACAGAGTTATTTGTGGATTTTTTCTTAGGCATTTATTTTCACATGAATGTTTTCTACAGTCGTCATAATACCAGTAGTCTGTACTCCTTAAAGTGGACATACATCCATATGCTTTTCTTTCTCTTTTGTCTCTGCCTTGCTACTGTGTTTTTTGCCTGGTCCCATCTGAGAAGGGTGTGAGCCCCTCCAGTTGGATGCCACTTGTGTGTATAGCTGAATGCTATACTCACAAAATTGACCACATTGAGTAAGGCCAGTGGTGGGCTGAGGTGTGTGCTGGACAAAGTTAATTAAAACAATAAATGGTGCTATTTAGTGGGGCTAAAATAATTTTGTTGGGATGCCTTTAGATGTAGTCTTGTCCCTAAGATGGTGATGGTTTTGAGGACAAAATTGACAAATCAGTAATTTTACTTTTCCTTATTACCTTCTTGGCTTTTTCCAAAAACATTTCTTGTCTTTCCCCTGTGCCTGAAAACACTCTTTTCTTCCAAATGAACGAGATGCAACCTGTTTTATTTAGCAACATTGTCTGAGTAGTCTGGCCTAAATGTGTCTTCTTACCACACATGGATTGCTAGGCAGGGGTTTCTGATTTATCCAGAATTCCCAAGTTGGTGTTGGGGGAAGGAAAATAGAATAATTTAATGGTGTCTCCATATTTGGTATCACTGACATTTAATTATCTTTTTTAACCCATGCCATTTGGTCAATTGAAAGAACATAAGAAGGCTAGGGAAGGAAGATATTATCTATCACTTTAGAAAGGAAATATGCAGAATCGGTTGTAATTAATCAGAAAAGTCCAAACACTTCTATGATTCTTGTTTCGTTTCTGCTATATTTGAGGCTCTCCCCATCTCTTCTTACCCCTCTCCCTTCTAAAAAATAGTTTGAAAAGCTTTCAGATAAACTTCTTTGTGTCAAGTTCCATTCTTTCACCCCCCCCCCTTTTCTTTTTTGGGTAACACGTCTCTGCTCCAAAATATTATAAACATTATATCTGGCAGCATATATTAAGTGGCAGGCATTACTTGGGAGGACATCTTCAGCTGTTCAGTCTCACTTAGGTGAGACACTTAGTGGGGTCTTTTTTGAGCCTTTGTGTATCTTAACACTTTCCAATTTTTCTTTCCCGACAAAACGATTTCAGTCCGAGAAGACAGTTGAAAGTTGAACTCACAGATGTGATGATGTCATACCTCTTAACAGAGGTGGCTTTAGTCAAAGGAAATAGGCAGAAGCAGAGATTTTCCATTTTTTTCTTTGGTGGCTTGTGGGAGATTAGGATTTTGATGCAAACCAAATTCTTCCTATTTTGGGATGTTGAACATAAATTTATTTATCTGATTAAATGATAATCCCAACATATTTGGTTATAAGTTTCCTTCCCTCTGGAAAACTTGATAATATAGTGGGAATTTGGGTTATTGATATTCAGAAGTATTTCTTTAGTAGTTTTGACTTATTTTTTCATGCTGAGTTAATATAATTTTTAATTATGGAATCAGACTTAGAGATAACTAGGGACCTATAAGTAGACAATGTTAATAAGTTAATAAGTAGAAGATGTGAGCATGGTCTAATCTGCATAGAATTCTTTAAATTAGTCCTGAGATTGAAGATTAAAGAAGCCCCATTCTTATAAATTTAGATGAAACACTGTTTTCATTTGTAAAAATAATACAATTTAATGCAAGTAGATGTATTGGGAAACTATTCTTTTTGCAATCATCTCACAAGGCTTATTTGCTTTCAAAAGTAGATTATTAAGTAAAGTTTGTCATTCTTATGTCATTGATGGAGCATGAAACTAAATTCATTTAAACTGTTTTACCTGCAGGGTCACTGTTGTATTTGCAGATGTATTTATGATCAATTTCTCTACTTTAGTTCTGTCTCTACAACAAGACCAAAACAGCTGTGACTTCAGTGAAACAAACTCAGTTCGAGTGTTTTGATTTAAATAATGAAATGATTCAGTACACATGTTCCACGTGTTCTCATGTAGATAGGGCCGCTTCATTCATAATTCTGAATGAATTTCTAACAGGACTTAGTTCACATCACTGCTAATCTACTTAGTTTCTTGCGCTGAATAGGGGGCTGAGCCAGACTAATAATGAGGGGACTAATAATGGTCCCCTCAAATGTTAAAATGCTGTGATTTTATACAAGAAACCCTCACAAAAGAAAGAGCATAAGACTTAAGAACTATTTTGCCTGATCATGTGAATTTCTCTTAACCAAAAGCATTGGGATGGTAAAAGTGTAATCAAATTGATGACATAGGTTTCTTTTCATTTTACTTTTGTCAACCAATGTGTAAAATCACATTGTGTAGAGTCAAAGATTGCTAATATTTCTTTTTTCCTGTGCAGATCTGAAAACCATGAGTGAACGCCTCAAGAATAGGTACTACGTGTCTAAGAAATTGTTCATGGCAGACTTACAACGAGTCTTTACCAATTGCAAAGAGTACAACCCTCCTGAGAGTGAATACTACAAATGTGCCAATATCCTGGAGAAATTCTTCTTCAGTAAAATTAAGGAAGCTGGATTAATTGACAAGTGATTTTTCCCCCCCTCTGCTTCTTAGAAACTCATTAAGCAGTGTGCCTAAAGCAAGGTGGTTTAGTTTTACAAAGAATTGGACATAATGTGTTGAAGATATTTGTAAATGTAATAATTAGCACTTTTGAAAAACAAACAAAAAACCTCCTCTTAGCTTTTCAGATATGTATTGAAATTGAAGTCATAGAACATTTTTTATTTTATGAAATAGATTTTAATCTATTTACTACTATTCATGTAAATTTTCTATGGCATGTCCATTACCTGAATATTCAATAATAGATGATCAGGGGAGTTTCCTCAAAACCTGTACATGAGGAAATTGCACATAGTACCAAGATTTGGGGGAATCCAGAAAATTCCAGACCGTGAATGTTTCCATTTTTTTCTAATGGAATGTGAGAGTTTATTTTTATTTTTTTCTGAAGGACTTTAAGGAAAGGATACATGATAAAAAAGCCCGTAAAAGGTGAAATATGTGATGTTTGAAGTCTCATTGTAGACTTTTTATATATATATTTTTTAAAAACACTCATCTAGATGAGGTGCTTTGAGCAGTTCTGAAAAAATGCAGTTCCAGAAAAGCAACTGCTTCAATTCCTAAGGAAGAAATTCTAAATAATGCAAACTTTTTTATAAGCATCTGGGTTTTTGATAATTCTGTCTACCTACAACAAACTCGTGAGTGCACAACCACTATTTTAATAATTATTTTCTCCACACAAATGTGTAATGTTTTATTTGACTTTGCTTATGCAGGCCATAAGTTCCAAAAGGCAATTTCCTGGGCCACAAAGGCGTACATTTGAAAACACTTGAAACTGAATCAACGTACTTTAATAGGAAAAGAGGTATATTCTATATATGTATCAAGTATGGTGAACCCTTGTAATAAATAAGAATTTTTTTCTCCTTTTCTGTGATACACACCACCTGACTCATAATGTACATATGGACATTTTTCCTTTTGCCTCTCCAGATTATGTATATTCATTATCTAAGGTGAATTAAATTACCAGCAAGATTTGCTGTCAGTATTTTCACACCAACATTGATTTATAGACCAGGGTAATACCCACTAAAATCCATCCTACAACCTTATTAACCTGTTGTGGGATTCCAGGTTAGTGCTTGGATTTATTTCCTGATTAACACTACATAGAAAAGTGGGACACCTGCCATCCCAACTCTGGGAGAACCAACTAATATAAAACAAATGAAGGCCATCTTGGTGGTCTGGACACTAATTTTTATGATACAAATTTATAAACTGATTTTTGTAAAGGACTAGCTTTTGAAAGTGTATTTAACTTGATGTTTTCTATCAGCATAAATGAATTAAGATGATCATTTAATAGTCATTAAAAACAGTTGCCAGAGATAATCCGTATGAAGGAGAAAAACTTGCAGATGGCTATTGAGTTGGAAGTATTGTTTTTAATGTAAGAAGATATTCAGAATGCTCACACTGAAAAATGCCTCAACTTTTCTAAGTATAAGAAACCACCTTGAGTGGCATCTAGATTTCTAATGAAGAATGATGATACAGTTTGGATTAAGTATCTCGGACTGGTTGTAAACAGTGCTTTGTACTGGATCTGCCGAAGCATCTGTCCACCTTGGTATCCTGTGAAAGTTTGTTATTTCCCGGGTAGACATAGAGTATTGTCTTTAAAATCAGATGGTCTCTTCTATATTGAAAGCATTTTTATGTTTTCTAATTTAAAAATTAATATTTTCTTATAGATATTGTGCAATAAAGCTGAAGTAGGATGTGTGGTTTTTGCAAATGCTTTAACAGCTGATAAAATTTTACATTTGTAAAATTAATATATTGTACTGGTACAAAATAGTTTTAAATTATATTTTGAAAAGCTCTCAACCTGGTGGTGTGTTTTCTTCTTCTAGCAGATTGATTTTTACAGGGAACATATATGATCCGGTTGATGACCATCAATATCTTTAACTCTTAGTTTGTAAGCATTTTGTTGAAGATGTTTAGAATGGTTGCATTTGTGGGAAGTTTCCTAGAAATCGATAGCCCATCAGCGAAGAGATTTTCAAGAGATACTTGCTGTATCTGTGTCTCTTCGGTTGTCCATTGAATCTTGCCCGCTGTCACTCATTAAACAAAGAAAAAAAATACAGCCAAGAAGTGTTAATTGGTTTAGAAATTAAAAGCCCCGCTCCCCTCTCCCCCACATCCTCCATTTTTCTGTTGGGTTGTCGGAAAAGTCATGACACATTTTTGCAACGAAAAACAGAAAAAATACATCATGACTTTTCCGACAACCCAATACATGGCATCTGTGAAACCGATGAATGTCCTGTAAGAAAGTCCTTGGGTTTGGTTGATGTCAGCTGTTTTAGAGTTGAATAGAGTACGCACTTGGTTCATAATAAGTTTGCGATCAGGCTGTAATGCAAATCTTTTTTTCCACAGACTGCTATTAAATGTGCTAGCACTGTTCCTACTCCTCAGCACACGCACTCACTTACACAGTGGTAGCTCTGTGTACAACTCAGCATCCCTCCTATATAGTTTTTAATATTTTACAAATATAAGTTGCCAGCTTTTAAGATTTAAATCTCTTACTAGAAATGAAATGTAAACCGTGTGACAAGGTGACATCTGTGAATTCAGAGGTAAGAGGTTACTATGAGGCTGGGTGAAGGTTGCTGTTGTGTTGTGGGAAACAGGTTGGAGAAGGTCGTGAAACACCTTCGTAAGGAGCCTGGGCTTTAGTGATAGGCTCATAAGAGCTACTGTAGGTAACAAACGATCAAAGTTGCATACATTTTCATGGGGAAGTCAGACAATTGAACACGTAATTACAACTGTTAAGAATGTTACAATGAGGGCCGGCCGAGTGGCGCGTTGGTTGGGAGCTGGCTTGGGATGCCAGAGGGCCCCGGTTCGGATCCCACATGTGAGGGCCAGTGACACTGCCCTCTAAAAAAAAAAAAGAATGTTACAATGAAAGGTAGAGCTCACAGTGGTGGCACCAAGGGTGGCTTCATTAATATACAAGTTAAATTAAAAAGATACTTGTCATGCATATGTAGTTTTAAGACGTTTTCTAGGCATTCCCTGGTTCCCTTCCCTAATCTCAAAAAATCACCATCACAGGGTCCAGTCTATAGGGAAATTCAGGAGCTTCCATTGGTATAGTGCTATGAGACCATGAAAAGGAAGGCACAGTCTGGTAAGTGTAGGGAAAGTTTCCCAGAGGAAATGACTTTTAAGCTGTGTGCTGAAAGATGAATGGGCATTGACTAAGGCACAATTTGGAGGAGGGAAGGCAGGGACAAAATGGCTGAGAAATCCCTGAAGCAGTAAAGAATAAAAAAGTTGAGAGAATCCAATAGGATAGGAGTGTTAGAGAGCAAAGAGGAATGGTGTGAAATGGTATAGTGCCATAATTGCCACATTGAGAATACAGAATTTTATTTTAAGGGAAATAGGAAATGGCTGGTAAACATGATCAAATTTTGTGTCCCGTGAAGGATGAGCTCACAAAAAATGAGGAAGCATGCACAAACAAATCATAATCAAAAGTCAGCAGGCCCAACAAATATCAAGTTTAGATGGCTAATATGAGAAAACACCAACACTCCAAAAGAAAATACGTGCTTATAATTGTTAAAAAAACAGCAAAACATTAAATGACAGGTTAAAGTAGGCTATGATACAGCCAATGATAGCATGAGCGACCTGGAATATAGAACTGATGGAACGAAACAGAAAGAACATAGGCAAAGAAAGAGGAAAAACGAGTTAGGAGACAGAAGACTGGCTATAAACCATGTGAATTCCATGAGGGCAGAATATTTGTTTTGCTCACTGAGGTATCCCAAGTGCCTAGAACACTGCCTGGCACAGTTGGTGCTGAATATTAGTTAAGTGGAAGTCCAATGATTGTTAGAAGTTGTATAAGGAGAGAATGGGAAAAGGCAATGTTCAACAAACTAAGAACTTCTTTTTTTACAATTAATACAAGACATGGATATTTATAATCAGTGAATCCCAAGCAGAATATTGACTTCCAATTCTGCCCATGAAAGCATAACTACGATGGCACTTGTCACCCATTATAAGTGAGAAAATCGGACTTAGTATATTAATAAACTTTCCAGAAATGGGACACTAGGTATTACAGAGCTATGGTCCCAGAACGAAGAAAAAAAAAAACAGTGATCCCTATGTTCCTCCCATATTTCTTCCCAAGGCAGTTTCAGAATTGTGGCCAAAGGAGGGGGAATCCAAACAAGAGTCCAGTACTACTGGGTTGAGAAGATTGTGACTAAAGTTTCGAGGAAGCTAGAATTTGCTAGTAGAGTAACAGAAAAGGAGCTATGCTGAGAAAGAGCTCCAGAATTCTGCTTAGTGGTCCTTGAGTCTTAGTTGAATACTAATCTGCATATGTGTAGATCGAAACTTCACGAAGCTAGGGAAAGAAACGCTGCAGGGTGAAGAATAATTACAGGGAATGGTAAGCCGAACAACTCTCAGAGCTTGTATAGGGCTGGGAATCATTTATGCACCCAGCAGCCAGGGTGGACAGACCTTGTTAAATACATTGGACGTTCAGTGGAGACCTTAGCTGCGTCATATCTTAGTACTGGGGCTAAAGGAGCCTTCGAGTAACAGCTACCCAAGACCAGCCCCCCAAAGCCTAAAACCAAGCCTAAAAAGGATCAAGCTGATCTACAAGTAACTTAATTGCTTGACCAAAGTTCAAAACTCTTTAAAGGAATACAACAAAATATAGCTTATAAAAATGTTAAATTCTCAATGCACAGTATCCAGTAAAAAATTACAAGATATGTGAAGCAGGAAAGAGATACATAACTAAAAGAAAAACTGACCAATAAAAACTGATCCAGATGTGAAAGATAATGGAATTAGGAAAGGATATTAAAACACTTTTTATCAACATCAGTGTGCTCAAGGATATGAAGAAAAACATAAGTAGAATGAAGAGGAAAATAGAAGGTATATATAAAAACCAAATGCAGTTTCCAGCGGTAAAAAATTCACTGGATGCGATCAATAGAAGATTTGACCAAGCAGAAGAAAATTAAGTAGACTTGAAGATATGGTAATAGAAGCTATCCAAAATGAAGCATAGAGGGAAAAAAGACTAAAAGTCACAAGTGAAATTAGAAAATATCTTGAGCTAAATGAAAGTGAAAACATAACATATCAATATTTGTAGAATGCGGCCAATACAGTGCTTAAGGGGAAAATTATACCAAAAATACTCATATAAAAATAAGAGAGGTCTTAATTCAGTCTACCTTAAGAAAGAAGAAAAAGAGCAAATTAAACCCAAAGCAGAAGGAGGAATACGGAGGAGTACAAATCAATGAAATGGGAAATGAATGAACAAAAAAGATAAATCAGTGAAATCACCAAGTCTTTAAAAAAATTGATAAACTTCTAGTTAGACTGATGAAGAAAAAAGAAGGCACAAATTACCAATATCAGGAACGAAAGGACATAACTAGAGCTCTTACATGCAAGGTATTAAAAGAATAAGGGAATATTATAGGCAACATCATGCCAAATCATTTGATAATTTAGATGAAATGAAAAAAGACCTTGTGTGACACAAATTAGCAAAATTAAAGAAGAAATATGAAACCTAAACATCCCTGTATCAACTAAAGAAACTAAATTCATAATGAAAAACTTGTCAAAGAAAACTAAAGGCACAGAGAGCTTCAGTAGTCTGTGAAACATTTAAGGAAAAAGTAATAATCCCACACAAACTCAGAAAACAGGTGTTTTGCAGAAAACATTTTACGAGACCAGTATTGTTATCCTGATACTAAAGCCGGGGGTGGGGTTGAATTTACAAGAAAACTATTAAACCAATAATCCTCACATAGATGTGAAAATCTTTATCAACAGATTAGCAAGTGGAATTCAGCAATATATAAAAAAGAAAAGATTATAACCAAGTGGGGTTCATCTCATTAACTCAGGATGGTTTAACATTGGAAATCGATTAATGTAATTAACTATATGAACAGAATAAAGGAGAAAAAATAAGTTAATCTCAATAGATGAATATGAAGCATTTGACAAAATTCAACACCCATTTGTGATTTAGAGACAAAAACCAAACACACCTCCCAGCAAACAAAGAATCAAATGAAACTTCCTCAATATGATAAGGGTTATAAATAAAAACTACAGCCAGCATGATAGTAATACTGAAATACTACATGCTCCCAAGGTTGAGACTAAGGCAAAGATGTCTGTTCTCATCATTTCTACTAAACATGATAACGGAAGTTCTAGTTGGCTCAATAAGGCAAGGAAAGGCATACAAGACAGAAGTGAACTGTATTTGTAGATTATAAGATCATGGGCATAAAAATATTCTAAGGGATCTACAAAAGTACTAGAACTAGTGAGTGAATTTATTAAGATCTATGTATGAAAATCAAGTGCATTTCTATAAACTAGCAGGAAATGAGTGAAAATGAATTTTAAAACTACATTTATAATAAATCAAGAATATTAAATGCTTAGGATAAATTAACAAAATGAGCAAAATTGAGACTGACAAAACTCAACAGCAAAATAAAACCCATAAGAAAATTAAATGGGGGCGGGAAGTAACTCAACCTATATTCAACAATCTAGTAAGGGCAAAATTAAATTTCTGGAAAAAAGACTGAGAATTCGACTCGTCAAAATGACATAGAAGATACAAGTATACCTCAGAAACTTGGACTTTGGAAAAGTCAAGTATACAAGGTAAGCCATTTAAGGATGACCACTTGAAAAAAAAGACAACTCTATCAATCTAGTGGTAAACAGAAAAAAGAAAATGGCAAAGTAGATAGCACAAAATATTTGATAGAACTACATTATAGCAGTTATCACAATAAATGTAAATGGATTGAATTTACTAGATAAAAGATGACAATTCAATTTGGACTAAAAAGCCCCAAATCTAATATGCTTCTTAAAGAGACACATCTAAAACAACACAGGAAGAAGGCTTAAAGATATGAAAAAGAAAAATGATATATCAGGCTAATAACTAAATGCAGGTAAATATTAACTACATATAAGTTGCCTTAGTTATATCAGACTTTAAGATAAAAAAACCATTATAAGGGAAAAATGGAGCGACTACAACAGTGACAAAAGCAGCAATTCACTAGGAAATAAAATGGATAAATCCAAAAATATTGTAAGATACTATTAAACTTTTAGTAAATAAGAGAACCAGACAAAATTGGTAAATATATAAAGATTTGAAAATGTACGTAACATTGCACTCAATTAGAGAACTTATATTTTTCTCAAGCACAAAAGCAAGTACAATAGGCAATAAAAAAGTTTAACATAACTAGATAGTATAGATTTGACAAATATTTTTAAATACTATAAATAACTTAAACCATTACATAAAACAGATGAAATATACGATCCCTGAGAAAAAGGTAAATAGAATCAAGAATTAGAGAATCCGTTAGACTTACATTAAAAAACTAAGATAAAAATTTCTCCACAAAAGCACATGATAAATGGTTTTAATCGTAAGTCCTACCACACCTTCTATAGGTACAATTTGTTCCATAGAGCAAAAAGAGAAAATATTCTCAATTTTTGAGGCTAGAAGATTCTTGCTACTCAAAATATAAGATGTATATGGGAAAGGATATAGCCAAATTTTACCTGAAAGAAGATAGGGGATAATATTAAACTCCTGAACACTGACATTATAAACAAGGTATAAAGAAAGAAAATGTAGAAACTGAGGAAAGATAGTTACAATCCACGTAAACAAAGACAAGGAATGGTATCTAGAACATATAAAGAACCCATACTATTTATTAAGAAAGACATTCTAATAGAAAAGTGGGTGAAAGATATAACAAGCAATTCACAGAAGGAATGAATGACCAATAAACATTTGAATTCTCACCAGCAATTAACTCAGTAAGATAAAATCATCTAAGTAATTACAGAAACCATTTCATCCTTATTGGTTTGGCTAATTTTGTTGTTCACTAACACCAAGTGATAGTATGTGGGGAAACTGGAAACAAATTGCTGTTAGGAGAGGGATACATTCCTTGTGTCAGGAGAATTGGTACAACCACGTTAGAGAGCCACTCCTAAATATCAACTCCATGGAAATTTATTCACATGTGTACCAGGATGTAGAATATCCACTGTAGCACTGATTTGTAATAATGAAAAAGTTGAAGCAAATTATCTCTCAAAAGAAGAATAAGTCTGATTTATTTATATAACAAAATACTGTACAACGAAGAAAATAACCTACAGCTGCCAACATGGAAAAGTCTCAAAACAAATGGTGCTGTTAAGTCAGTTGCAAAAAGACACAATATAACATTCATGTTAAATGTTAAAATACAAAACAATTCTTAACAGTCTATGGATAAACACTACAGCAATACAGAAATATAAAAAGTACAAAAATATCAAATTTAGAATGATTATTTTGAAGATGAAGGTTAAGGATCAAAACAAGCCCAGAAAATGTCAGAAGAGAAAGATATATGAAGTACAAGTAAAGGCAGTAAATGGTCTAGAGCAGGAGTTGGCAAACTTTTCCCGTAAAGGGCTGGAGAGTATTTTTAGGCTTTGCAAGCCAAAGAGGTAAAAATCGAAGATATGTATTTTACTGGGGTTCAAATTTAGTAATTTCTATCATCAAAATTGATAGCAATTGTTTGATTTTTTTTTCAACCACTTAGAAACATGAAAAATCATTTGTAGCTTACAGACCGTGCAAAAACAGACAGAGGGCTGTATTTGGCCAATAGGCTGTAGGTTGGCCACTGCTGGCTTAGAGCAGCATTGTCCAATAGAACTTTTCTCTGGTGATGGAAATATTGAATATCTGCATTGACCCCAATATGGTAACCACTAGTCATATGTGGCTATTGAGCATTTGAATTGTGGCTACTATGGCTCAGAAATTTTAAATTGTATTTAATCTTAATTAAGTCTAGCCATTCTAGAGTTGTTTTTGTTTTGGTTTGATGAATTTAAAGACAGCTGGAAAGGGGGTGGTTGAACAAACAAACAGGAAAAGTAAGAGATTGTGATGGGAGAGTAGGAGACATGAATCACTGATTCTATCAGGAATAGAAAAATTTTGGCTGATAAAAGGATTTTGGGTGTGACTGATAACAGAATGCAGAAAGATACAGACTACACAGTCAAGAATATTTGAGGTCAAGATTGGAAGAGTCCCCCTGTAAAATAGAATTTGTTGATCATGGACCTGAAGAGTCCAGAAAGAAAAGCTGAAAGAAAGAAGTGTTAGGGTGAGAGTACAGTGGGGGGCTAAGAGTTTCATGGCAGTGACAATAGAGAAAACCGAGGAGTGGGGAGAGAAATGTCTAAGAAGGATGAGAACAGTGAAAGTTAGAAAGCAGGACGACTAGATGCATACTCTTTGATATTTAAGCAGTAGAAGAAAAACACAAGCACTATCTCATACAAACTTTATTGCTCTTTAAAACTGGATAACCTACAGTGCTTGAAAGTTTAAAGAGGTATACACAGCATTGACTTTGAACTTGCAGAACTGAACTAATTTAATTCCCTCTCATTAGTTGATCAAAAGTACAACAAAAACTTTGGCATTCAGACATTATACATTTGAGGTTTCTGACTAAATAAGGAACTATCCTGAAAGTCCATCACATAATAATTTGTGATTTTGCTGAGGGATCACTTTGAACAATATATATCTAGAGCTGGGGGCTCAAAGTTAATAACCCAATCCCTCAGCCTAAGCCACCATCAGTTCTCTATAATCGTGATCTCATACACGTTTTTATTTAAAAAATTAAATACAACGACGGTATAAGGGATCCACAAACAATAAGGTATTTCCTACTGTGAATGTTAAGAATTTGTTTTATTCAAATATAGAAGGAGTTTCAAAAGATCCTCAGCCTGTGTTTAAAAAATCATCCATTCTTGCATTCCCTACTTAAAAGAAAAATGCCAGAAGTTTATAATAAAAAAACTTAATTTGAATAATCATTAATTTCCAAAATGTTGGTATAAGATACATTTTGACTAAAATTAAGGTTTTTAGGCAGTATAAGAAATCAATGATAGTGCTTATGTCCAGTTTTTATATTTAAAAGAGTCAACTAAATCTATTAAAGGTTTAAGAAAAAGTATCACATTTGAAGTGTAGTTTTGAAGAAATTGTTCATGATCTAGAGCCCTGTCAAGAGAACAATCTATGGCAATAGTTCAGCACCCTTGTGTACTAGCTTACAGGTTCTCTTGGACCAATTAAAAGTGGGCGGAGGATCAACTTAAACAGCATCCGACGAATGTGTCATAGTATTTGCTTCATACTTTTTTTTTTTTTAGAACTGCGTCTGGAATCCTTCTTATGCTTGAAAACAGGCGAATTCAAGAAACACAAATCTGTAAAAGGGTCCCCTCTTCTCAGTTTCCTATAAAGGTAAAAAGAGCTCCTTAGCATCCCAATACTCAGTCTTCAGTATAAAGTGATTGTAAAACGTGCCAGTGAAAGGTGAGTTCCCACACATTAAATACTTACGAAGCAAGTGTGGGTTCCTTGTAGTTCACACTGGCAGTGCACCTCCGCTTAGGCAGAGACACTGCTGGGCTTTCTTTATTCTTCTTTGGAGAAAGAGAAAGTTTTCTGATTTTCACTCCAGGACTCAAGGGGACATTGGTGATGTCCTTTAGGCCAAAATTAGTTGACTGGTGAGTTTCAGGTAGTGCACCTACAAAAGCAACTTTTACTGAATATGGTTAAAAAGAAATCCCACACGAAATAAAATTGTATGCAATTACATATTCTAAATGTATACAAAATCCAGCACTTTATAATAGATTTTTTTTAACCTGTTCATCATTTTTTCACCCCAGATAACACTGAAATGTTAATTATTGTAGATGTGAAGAATTGACACAACAGTTTACTAAAACTTAAAATTGTTAAAAATTAAAAAAAAGATTAAAATTCTTCTAGGATAGCTTGGGCATAATGAATTTGTTTAAACTATGGAATTTTATTTTAGTCACACCTTGCTCTTTAGAATCATCAAAGCCTTCATCTCTTTCAGTACCAAAGCTTATCAAGTGGTTCCTTATAGTCTTATAAAGCTAATTAAACTCGTTCTATTAATAAATGAGAATTCTAAACCATAGCCTCTGTGTAAACCTGGAGAAAGGGGATTCCTTCTAGTAAAGCTAGTAGGTTAAAGTTACCCAGTGTTTTTCCTATCATAAGCAAATGATTCTACTTTGGAGCTACATCTATATTGGGAGACAGGTACCCAGCACACACTAAGGTCACTGCTAGACAAGTAATTTCTTTAAATAGCTTTAAAAAGCAAATCATTCCACAAGAAAAACAAAACTGTAACTGTAAAATGACTATATTTAGCAACTATATTCTCCAGGATTATCTGAGTTTTAAATACTCTCTTATTTTTGTCTCCACATAGCATACTGTATTACACTAATTATTCCAACGTTATGGAAAACATGGTTAAGCAATATCATCAGATCGGTTGCTATGTTCTGGAAGAATGCTTCTCAGACTTCAATGTACATACAAATCCGCGAGGAACTTGTTAGAAAGATGCAGATTCTGATTCAAGGGTGTGGGGTACAGCCTGAGATTCTGCCATTCTAAGAAATTTCCAGGTCACGCTGATGCTGCTGGTCCAGGGACCACACCCCAAGTAACACTGTTTTAGAATGTATTCTTTTCTTCTAAAAACTTATGGAAATTTTCAAATATATACAGAGATGGAGACAACAGTATAATGAACTCACAGTTTCCTAGCTTCAATAATTATCAACATTTTGCCAATCTTGTTAGCTTTACTCTAACATCATTATAGCATATCACCACCACCTAACTGGTTGACCCTAGAAAGTCATTTAACTCCTTAAGTGTCCTGACACCTACTCTTCACAGAGTTGTTCTTAGGATCAAATGAAATATGAAAAAATTTTGAGGATGATACAGCCTGACTGCATATGTTGGTTTTACCATAATAACTAAAATTCCCAGAGGAGTATCTTTGTGGGCAGGTGCAGGCGGTATCACTAGCTTTTGAACCATGCTGACTTTCTCTCTTAACAAAATCAAGATTTTCTAAGCCACAGTTTTTAGATGTTTTGCAAATATCTTATGAAATAATACTAGGCCTGTCAATTGAGGAAAGAGTTTTTTGGCCACTTTCACTAACTAGAAAATTAGTTAAATCATGGTTCCTGTCAAATTGAATACGAAGCAAAGCCATTAAAATGAACAAGTCACTGGATTCAAACTTTATTTCATTTTCAAGGGGATGTTTCAGGTGAGTGTATAAAAGATATTTTAATTCAACCTAACTCCACAGAAAAGTTTTTTCCTTGCCTTGGAAGGCTTCCTTTACTGAAAGTAAAAATGCTTTTTCCATAACAAGTAGTATTTGTTCTTAAAGAGGATTTAAATTAGCTTAAAGCAGGTCAGAGCAACACAACTGTGATTCCTACCCTCAGCGCCCCTCTATTTAATCAAACTGTTGTTACTTCCCTCAGAGACAGATGGTAAGTCTATAACCTCCCCCAGAGAAACAGATGGCAAATTGTAGTATATAAGCATCGGGAGTGATCATTTATCATAAACATTAAAAGTGCAGGCAAACAAGTAGATCACTTACTGGCTGGAGTTTCTGTTGGCTGAAAACCCTCTGTCTCTTCTTTATACCTACATTTTAGTGTTCTTTTAGATCGAGGCCTGGTGACCGGGCTCCTATTTGATTCGCTGGCAAGACCTTGACTGTACTTACAAGTGGGCAAATAGAGGTCATCAGAATCATCTCCTGAATCACTTGATTCACAGATACTCACTTCGGATTCACTGCCATTTTCTTCTCTTTTAGAATCACTGCTCATTTTTTGTCGGAAAGGAGTGAGATGAACACCCTCTTCCGAATTAAAATTGTAAGCATCATCAGAAGTGACAAAATCATCCAACTTCTTTTTGGAAACTGTTTTTTTATTTTTACTTTTTCTCTCTTTATACTTAGATACAGATTTTGATTTTCTCCTTCTGTTAGCTTTTCTTTTCTCTTCTCTTTTTCTGCCTTGTGCATCGCTACACTTACTTTTAGTTTGTTCAGATTTATACTCTAAAAAAATGTCTTCTTTTGTTTTAGTAGATCTTCCTGGGTGAATCAGCTTTGGTGATAAGTTAATTTGATCCTTGTTCCATTGACAAACATTTTGTTCTACATTTTCAGATAAGTGCATGTTTACTAGTGGGCCTACAGATCTAATTGTTTCCAATTCAAAAAACTGCTCTGATACATGACTGATTTCAAAATTATCCAAGGTACCAAATTCGCACAGATCATTAAAATGTGTCTTTGTATTGCGACGGAGAGATACAGTTCTAGGTAAGACGTTATCAGCAGATATATCTTCGCCTAAATCCAAATCAAATTCCAGTCTGTCTTGAGGAATAGTAGGTATTTGCTCTGAGAATTTAAAAAATAAATGAGAAAAATAGTTTTACTTTATGGAAATTTTAATTTCAAGAATCTTAGAATTCAAAGTTAAAAACAGAATAAATAATTCTTTAGTTTCCCCATATTTACTATAAGTAAATAAAAATCTGGGGAACTTAATATTACCATCTATTTATTTGGCAATGTTCAATTGATGGCTTATATCTGACCTGTGATAGAATCTTATATAACTTTCAAAAATATTCTAACTTGGGATTTTATGTGCCCCCGGTTTAAAGAATAGTAGTCTATATGTATCTTACGTATACATATACGGGATACAGAGGAAGAGAACCTCATATTACAAAGTAGGACAGATACAACCAAGAAAGTGGGAGCTAAGTTGTTCTTTGAAAAGTCAGTTAAATTGGGATAATTGGAAAACCTTTTAGGTAAGAAATATAATCTGTATTTTAAATAAAAGTGAGGATATTTGGTTCAGCTTATTCAAATACTATCCCTTCTTCAGGCTTAGTTCAAGTAGAGAGGATGATATTTGAGAAAAGGGACATATAAATTTAAAAGTAGAAAGAAGGGCATGGTTTTAGAGATCAGCTTTGAGTTTAAACCCTAACTCTTAGCATCTGGGCTACTTCTTATGAGATACTTTCCTTCTTTGAGTCTATATAAAGTGGGACTGAGTATACCTATATTCCAAGGTTGTTGTGAAGGTTAAGTGAGACAATATATGTAAAATGCCTAACACAGAGCTTGACACACAGTAGGGCTCAGTAAATTGTAACCGTAGTTATAGACAAGGTTTCTGATTATACAGTTGGCAAAATAAATGGATGTATTTTAAGTCTCTTATTAGTCTATATAAAATAAACAGATTTGCTGTGGGTAGAAGCATACTAGGCAAGCAAATTTAAAAAGCTAAAAAGAAAAATTGGAAAATTGAATTATGTTACTTGTTCTCAAAGATCTCATCTTGCCCTTAATCATATTATCAGATTTTCACTTGAATTACCTTGCATTTGGAATGATTCTCCTTGTTCTGGAAGGTGAACTTCCTGAAGAGGAACTTGCCTTAGAAAATACCATTGAAAAACAAATTTATTTAACAATTATGCAATGAAAATAAATTTAAGGTTTTTCTTAAAATTAAGTTTTTTTCTTTCCTTCAGTATTATTTCATAATTCCATTCTAAATCAGTACATCTGTTCTATATCAAAGGAAACCAAAGAACATTTATACTGATTACATGGAGGCAGATTTGTTATGATGGACATTCAACTTCTACTGGAATAACTAACATATCAAACTGGAAAGTTCCTCCTTAAAAATATGCCATAACTCATAATCTCATATAACTAGAGAAATAGCCAATCAGAACTGATTTATAAAATATATTATGGAAATGCAGTTTGACTACTCAGCTCTTTCGGAGTCTGCTTTATCATCACCTGAGTTGTCATTTTTTTGATGGTAAATGCTTTTATGGT